ATCCTGAATCTTCATTCGCCCCTTAAAGAACCCCATTTTTTCATGTATTCGGGGCTGCTGTCAGTACCTTTGGTCCCTCCTGATTACCATCTTTTTTTTACTTTTAACGCCCGTGATTAAGTTCTTTAGTTACTTTTGTAATTTTGGACGAAGTTTCATTCCAGTTCCATACTCCTGTTCTTTTTGTGGCTACTCATTCTCCTATGGCATATTCAGTTTCTAACTTCCTTTTTATAAACGGATTGCCTCATTTCTGACGGACGCCATTTAATGTGTTTTTGTGTCCAAATGTGTTCTTCTGCAACTTTCCGGGGGCGTGGCTTTTGCAGAAAGCGTCTTTTCATTAATCTGTGCTTCAGCAGAGAGTTGGGCTCGATAAAATAGGTGCGCGGTTGACCATAGCTCCTTGGCCAAGAATGATTTACAGAAGCCTTCATCGGTTGGAACCTCTATTGACGGCCTTAATGCCCAACATCTGGATGCTCGATTTCGCCGCCCTAGGTGAGTACATTTGCCTAAGGTCAGCTTCAGTATCGCTACCCTCCCAAGTTTGTCATTACTAGAATAGCCCTCCTGCGAGCTACTGACATGATAGGGGCTTCAGCTTTAGCCCACATTGTTAACAGTCTTTCCCTTGGAGTTGTGCATTAACCTTTTAGATCCCTTCAGGCTGTTCGGAATGTGACGAAAGCTAAAACTGTATTGCTACACACAACGTCAACATAGTCCATTTGCCACATTTTTGAATATCTTCTCCAAGGCATCGCAGCTGTAAGACTCGTGCTTGCCTACATTTTCGACGACCAGGGTAAGTTCATTCAACTTGACAACGCCTTGAACGAAACAGGTCACACCGTAATAAAGCGAGAAAGAGCTCGGTGCTGTGCAGTTTAAGGGACCTTGGGAATATCATCTACTGATCCAAACGGCAATTGCTCTGGGGATAAGGCTTTTTTTTTAGCAGTTAAAGTTACATCTCCACGGGAGCTACTTTCTCGATCAAAGCTCTTTATCCTCTTGATGACATTTGGTCCAAACAGGGCAAACCACAACTGTGCGATCCATTAAAGCTTCCTTGTCCTTCGCTTGAGATACGGTCAAAATGATTTTCTCAAAGAGTCAGCGCCTCTCTTCTCCGGCTTCTGTCTCCAGCCGTATGCATCAGCAGAAGGGCCATAATGACTGAATTGGAAACCCAACTTATTAGTGATATGGTGCACAGTATAGATCGGCCCGAACTTACACGAATATGGTGACCACATCCTTGTGTTTGTATTCATTTGGAATGTTCTCGCGGTATAGAATCGATTTTTTTGACGTTCCTATGGGAATCTTACCAACGGACACTTTGAGAATTCCGCTCTTTTCTTTTAATCCTACAGAGTTGTATTCCTCGGGTTTTTTTTTTTCCTTGCCTTTCTTGGAAACAGGCTCCTCTACAGGGGGTTTATCATCTTCGTCGGACTCTTCTTCCTTCCCCGCGTCTGAGGTCTTTGAAACCCCTCCTAGCTCCACCTTCTCGTCATCATCTTCCTCTTCGTCACTATTCTCATCTTCATCTTCCTCAGCCTCATCATCAATTAAATCAGCCGCGTCTTCTGCCTCGGAGTCGCTATCGTCCTCAACCTGACTCGGACTCTTCCTCGCTCGACGGTGGAACTTCCTTCACTGGTTGCTTCCTGGTCTTTTTGGAGGGCTCCTGGGTAGCTGGGATCTGTTTCTCCTCTTCCTGTACCTTTAGTTTTTGATTGTCGGCCAGGTGAGATAAATTAATTTTATCTAGGACGGAACTTTTCTCGACTATCTCCGTGACGCACATTCCATTAAATTTCGATGCAAAGTCTCTCTCTTTTGCTCTGATCTCGACGCCGTTGGAACTGAACATTACGTTGACTGACTGTAGCACATCGTTTCCCACAACCGCAGAGTACTCGAGTTCGTTCTCTTTTGCGACATTGAAAGTTACCGAGAAGCATACACCATCAGCTTCAAGATCGACGTCGAAACATCCTACGGTCACAAGTTCGCCCTTGCCGATACCTCTCAGGTTTTAGCTTTAAGCCGTCAAAACTTCTGAAAATATCCTCTCTCATCAAACACAATTCACATCCCGAATCAATCATTGCTATGAATGTCACCCTTCAGTCACCTTTCTTTTGTAAATGAGTCCCTTTGCGGCTTTTACTTCCAGTATGTTTGCAAACTCTTTCTTAACGGAAATAGTTTCTTTTATTCTCATCGCAATTTTTAGAGATATGGGCCTTCTTGTTGCACTTGTAACATATTACTTCGCCTTTGCAACCTTAGTAATATGGCCTTCGCCGTTACCAACTTGAAGCATTCCCTTTAAAAATTGCTCCTGAGTTGGTTTAATCTGTCGAATCCCTGTTCAAATTGTCTTTTAGTATTTCCTCACCCTTCATCTTTTCGTAAATGCTTAAATTTGGTCTTTAAGTTCCCTAATGGAATTCGCCTCGATACAACCTTACTTTGTTGACCTGGATATCTGGGATGCCATCTATGAAGTACGATACTAGACTTTCCTCATCAAGATTTATCGGTTTGCTGATCTCCATTAAACTATAAAGATGTCTCTTTGGTTGTTTTTGCCTTTTGCGCAAAATCTTGTGTATCTCTGCCGAACATGGCTTTTTACCGAAATTTTTAAGCCCACGGTAACTGTGATTGACGTCTTCCTGTTCGTGGCCTGAAAATGATAAAACACTGTCCTGAATATCGCGTAGTGTAAATCTCGAGCTACTAGGTTGAACCGCCTCTTGGTAATTGGAAGCCCTACTAATACTCGCAACTTTCCCATCAGCCTCGCCGTCCTCATCGTCAGCCACATCTAATGCATAATGATCGAACAACCGATCCTGCAAAGCTCCTTTTCTGCCAGTTGTATCCAAACCTAGTTCGGATAACTTTGCCCTTAGTAGAGGCACAGTCTTAGCGAGGATCGTTCTAGCATCCATAGTAATGCGATCAAGCCGTTTACAAACAGTGGTACAATTCAATATTTAAATGTTTTGATACAACAAAGTAAGAATTTAATTGACGTTAAACAATTCGTGTATTCAAAAAAATTCAAATCAGATTAAATATGTGAAATCGCCTCAGTCGCTCACCACACCCAATTGGATTTTGCTGTCTTCTACGTCTGCTTCAATTTTGCCAATCCAGTCCACTCTGCTACTCCAGCTCGTACTCTTCTACGATGTCGTCACGCTGCACTGCTTGCTCGTCTCGTTGCCACTTCTTGCTCGTCTCTTCGCAATTTTTTGGCGGATTGCGTCGCTTGTAAGTTCTTGCAGCTCCTCTTTTCGCCACAGGGAAACTTTTGATGTCGCAAAAATAGCAAGTGGCCAGTCCACTGCTGTATATCTTCGTTCTCTTTTCTCTACTGCACAAATTTTGGGTTGCAAGTTTTTTTTTCGAGTTAGTTTTTGGGTACGCTCACAGTAGATTTTTTTGCCAAATTTTTGGCACTTTTGTAGTCTGTGTACACCAATTTGCTGCTTCAACGTTAGTCGATCTGTTTAACTTTTTAGATTTTCCTCGTCTTTATCTGTTCTTGTTTAACAATTACATCCAACGCTTTTCAGTTTTTACTTCTCTTTTTTGTCAGTCCTCACTTCATTCTTCGACGCGACAGTTTTCGATGTGTTAACGCACAGTTTTCTCTTTGTTCTTTTTTCCTTTTATATTCCCGGACGAGCCCCAATAATTTGTAGGGTAGTACAAATTGATAATGTTTATTTCGGATATATATAAAGGTAAATTAAAGAAACAAAGGTCTTGTATTAAACTTCACGACTTCCGCACTCTATGGATGACACTTGCTTTCTTTAATATTCGCAATCGACTGACTTCAACTTAAAATAGTAAGGCGCAATTTCTATTAGGAAGAGGGTGATGGCGTTTTGGCTGATGGAAAAAAGCTACGAGGTTGTGGAATTCCGAACTGTGTGTCCCCATATGAAATTAAATAGGCTGCTTAATACCTAAATGTACCCATATCCCACATAGAGTGCCTCGTGGCCTCGTGGTGTGGACTTATCGCCGCAGTGGACTATTGCTTTTTTTATATTACTTAGTAATTTGTGCCCTCGAATATTTCACGTCACAGGGTACGTGGACAAATCGCTGAGGCAGGTACTAAGTTATTCACAATTTTTTTGCGCTCGTGGGGAATGCCAGCTCTAAACGGCAGCATCCTCATCGCAGCGGGTAATTGTGTTTTACCACAAATTTGTATACTTTTATTTGTATTTTTTACACTCACACATACAACGCTTTTTTTTATTTTAAAATATTTTACTTCTTAATCATTAACGAAGTGTTCACATTTTGTTTGTTTCTTTTTGGGTTCTTGGGTTCCACTTTCGAGAGAATCCTCACCGCAGCGGGTAATTGTGTTTCACCACAAATTTGTATACTTTTATTTGTATTCTTTACTCGCACACGCACAACGCTTTTTTTTTAAATATTTTACTTCTTAATCATCAACGAAGTGTTCACATTTTTTTTTGTTGTTTTTTTTGGGTCCTTGGGAAAGTGGAATCTGTTCGGGCGCCAGTTATGGCCAGACGTTGCCAGAGGGGGGAGTTTTCCCCCGTATATTACCTAGGTAGGGTTAGCAGCATCCTTGTGACTCCGGTTTCTCGATTCCTTCGTCCTTCCTTCTACGACTTAATTTTCTTTATACGAGTTTACTTTAACATAAAACAGTAAGCGTTTTAAAACTTTACAATGCTTTTATTCATTAACATAAAAGTGGTCTTATCGCATCGGGGTACAAAAAGAAGTAATTCAAAATTATATTTCGTGTGGCTTGTTGCCTGCATAACACTGCAATAACGCCGCAATCCGATGCCGGCAGCACCGGTTTTGGGGATTTGGCCCAAAGTGTTGCCATGCTCCAGGTCCTGGCGTTGCATTTCCGTCTGTGTGCAGGGGTAGGGGTAGCTATAGCTGAGACAGCTAGCGATCGGTCATTGCTCTTCCATTGTCGCGCTGATGATAGCAGCGGTTCTGGATATTTGCGCCAACGTGTTGCTAACCTCCATATGCTAGTTCTGCATTTTCTGTTGGCCGCGGCGATGGGAAGTGGTAGCGGCAGCTATTGTTGAGGCAGCTAGCGGGCGGTCACTGCTCTTCCATTCTCTCGCTACTACCGTTGCAATTCTGCCGTTGACATTCTGTCGCTGCGCTGTCGCTCTGACGCCGCTGACGTTTAGTGTCTGCACTACCGCTGCTGTGTCGCTGCTGGTCGTCGGGTGGGCTGGGTGGTGTGATGAGGGAAGTCGCTGTCTGGTAACCGGGTCGACAGGCGGTGAAGGGAAAGGGGCGCTTGGCCGGTGTTAACTTATATTATAATTACGACCAGCTGAACAATATATATTTATTAATTTTATTTGCATTGTTGTTATTTCCAAATACATACATATTTTATATTTAATATTACATTTCTATTGCAGACCTTAACAACTGCGTTGAGGCAGCATGACACTGATATTGATGGGATCATACATATGACCAATTTTTAAGCATGGCTTTTCATTAAAAATGTAGTCATGTTTTATAAAAAGCTAAATAAATAAATCTATATAATATATACATGTTTATGTTAGTTTTTTTAAGTTTTCGAAATGTTTAGTAATAAATTATTTTCATACCCGTCACTTGTAGAGAGAATTCGTTGAAAACTGTGCAACAGCCGAAAGAAAGCGTTTCCGACCCTATAAAATCAGAATCAAGATCTTAATCCGAAGAAGCGTACGCAGCGATATAGAGCTGGGACAAAGCAAGTATAATCTTGAAATGGCATTTAATGTTAATGTTGTTCCACTATCCATCCACATCTACTCGTATGCCCACCATGCTCGAAAAACGGTTTCCGACTTTTAGAAACGCTGAGATCCTATCCTTACTCTATAAATTATAAATGTCTTTTTAGTTGATAGGAGTAAAGAGGAACTTTTGTGAGACCCCATGTTATGATAGCTAGGGATCCAAATGAGTGACATGTTTTTGGAATAGAGGTTTTCTGTCTTTTGTATCTCCCGTATGGTGGGATCGCTACGTTAAGGGTTTTATATCGCCAGAAGAAACGACATACTGGATGTGCAGTCTACAGATTCGCCTGTGTTGTTAATATTCTTTCGCTTTTGCAAGGAGTCTCCAAATACTAGAATATTAATATGTAAATGTAAATATTTTGTGCTTATTAATATAATTAACTATCGCGCCCGACTCGTTTCGCTCCGCTTCTCAGACTTGACATAGTCTTCTAAGGCTTATGATCCATGCGCGGAAAAAAGTCGCACCGGAAACTGCAAACGTTTGAATTCCAATAGCATGTCCACCGGACAGTACGTCTTTACCTTTTCATTTTCCAGAAAATAAATGTTTTGAATCATGTGATACGCCTGAAAAAAACGATGACAGTGGTTCAGGTAGTGAATGTAATTCTGGAAGTTTGACTTTTCTTCTGCCGCAACACATTCCTGGCGTTTAATTTTGAGTTCGCTGCAATACATAAAAGTTCCAATGGCGACAGCTGGACGAAGACTTCAGTCAATGTTTCTGTTATAATGAAATGCATCATTGCGTACTCGATATCTTTCTAACCTTACTTCCCATCGTTGAGGTGATTCAAAAGAACGGGGCTCAGCGGCATGCACTCGAAGATTTTCTAGCCATAATGCTCGGTGCTCATCTGATTCTGAGGCCCGATATACCTTTTTCACTTGCGCTTGAGGTTTATCAGCCAATTGCATTTCGCTTAGAGAGCACATTTTAGATTAGTAAAGATACGAGGAAAGTTGGTTTTGTGCTAAATGGAGTAGTATCGAAACTTTCAAAGTTTAGTTTATACAGTACCCGAAATGGTTCATGTTGGGCAATGTTCGAACTATAATGCTCTAAGGATGGAGGAATATAGTTTCTAGTAATCCTAAGGGGTACATGGATATTCAAGTGGCCAAGAAGGGCCTGGCTATCAATTTCACCCTTAAGAAGATTATGGATAAAGACGGCACCAAGCATCGTCCTACGATTGGCGAGGGATGGCAAATTAATAACTAAGAGTCTACTTTTATAAGAGGGGAGGTATATGTTTGCATCCCAGTTGAGACTTTTGGATGGATTCAATAAGGCACTGGTGAACCCCATACTGGGGATCCTAGATACATGATCCACATTCCAGAATCGAAGGAACTAAAGAAATAAAAAGTGTTTTGGTTACATAGGGGTCGTTAAATTCCTTCGACCACCTTTTAATGAAACCAATCACTCCTCTTGCTTTATTAACCATAGAGAAAATATGGTCGGAAAACTTAAGTTTTGCATCGAGTAAGATGCCAAGATCTTCAACTGCATTAATTCTTTCCAGAGCTACACCATGCAGAGTATAAGTGGCAACTTTAGGTCTTAGGCGACAGAAGGTCATTGCTTTGCACTTAGAGCCATTAAGATTTAATGGTGCAGAGCACCAGTTTTGAAAATTATTAAGGTCAGATGGCAGTTTCACCTGGTGGGAGACATCGGTATATTGCAGACAGAGTTTGACATCGAATGCATACATAAGTACTAGGGAGTCATTAACAACCAAGGGAAGGTCATTAATGAATAAAGTAAAAAGTAACGGATCAAGATGGCTGCCCTGAGGGACCCCGGAAGAAGTTTAGACTAAAGCAGATACTGAATTTTTAAAAAGACCTCGTTGCGTTGTACTTGTGAGGTAACTGCTAATCCAACCCAGGAGATCAGTAGGAAAACCGATATCGGGTTTTTCTAAAAGAAGGTCGTGATTCACGAAGTCAAATGCTTTACTGAAGTCAGTGTAAATGACATCCATCTGAAGTTTATTTTGGAAACTAGTGATCACGAAGGATGTTAGTTCCAGAAGATTGGTAGTGGTAGACCGTTGTTTCATAAAGCCATGCTGGCATGAAGATATGACAGATCTACA